GCTACCTCCCTTGAAAGGCTGGACTTTGGCTTTTAAATTGACAAGATTTTGCCAAGTTTCCTCTTCTAGCCCAAGTGACTGGACCAACCATAAAGTAGTCCCCCCCCATCCTCAAAAGCCATGCCCATAGAATGGTAAGCAATTAACCCTTGCTTTCTTGGTGTGGGTGGGAGAACAAAGCAGGGAAATCCACCGATCAGGGGCTGTTTTAACCATGGTCAGGACAGAACGCCAGACCATCACTATGGTCAAAGCAGAGAAAGGGGATGAAATTCAGAAAATGATTTCTTAAACAAGCTTCATTTCTACCTGTTTATGTAGCCCTTAGTCTTGCATTGACTCAATAAAAAGTGGGGCAAGCAGGGAAAAATCCACTTATAATAAGGAATAATCATATTCTTTGCTGTCCCTGCCAGCTTACTTCCATAGTGGTGGGGTGCTCATTTTAAGTGACCCATTGCATGGTGCAAAATTATGTATATGCACTGGAAATTGGAAAGCATCCAGTGCATTATCAGGGATCTTTGTCCCAGTTTGCTGAACTGCAAAGAGGCAAGCTGGGGCTGATTTCCTCTGTCTTGGCTTATTAGAGTCATCTTTTCTGCAAATCCCTGAAGAAAGAAGCAGAGAAAGACTCTGGTTAACCATTTTCACATAGGCTAACTTGATTGCACCTGAAATTATTTTCCTATATCTTCTGCAAATCCTTTTTTCTTTTTCTTTTCCTTTTTCTAGATATAGCCATTTTCCTGCTTTAGTGTTTCAGAACCTATTCATATCTTTCTTCTTTCCTGAGCCCAGTTCTGCAAGAAGTCTGATTGTGCTTAAGATGAGCTTCCTTGGTCTTGCTCTTGCATGTATAGTTCACCTGATTTTTGAGATGTACAGATTTGCAACAATGCAGGCAGAATTTGCTTTCCCAACTAGACTCACATTGATCCCAGTGTAGGGCAACCTTCTGCAGTCTGGCTGGGTGATTATGGGGATTGAGGCTCAACCCACTTGGAGGGCATCTGTTTGAGGAAAGGTGGTGTGGGTTATTGGGAAGATGTTTGTTAGAACAGTCATTATCTCAGCAATTCCTTCAGTGCTACTGAAGGCTAATTGGTTTGAGCCTTATGAGTTAATGGCAAGGGCTGGATAAATTTTCAGTTTTTGCTAGAGAAATGGCAGCTGGCAAAGCCATGTCCTTTGTCTCTGCAATTTGTTAGTCAGTGCTCTCCAGCTGGTAGGAGAAAGGTTGCCACGCTTCACTGTCAAATAGCTGCAGCTAGGGCAATCTGTCATCTCTGCTCGTTTGCCACCTACCATTACTCAGGCAGCATGGTGATCACAATCTGAACAAGAGGCTCAGAAAGCCTCTCTGAAGCTCAGTAATACAGGAACAAGCCTTGATGAGATTTGCTCCCATATTGCTCAACCATTATGGGGAAAGCCACATGGCTTGTTATGCAGAGTCCTCATGGTATCTAAGATATATCTCAAGTTGTCTAAGTTCCCATCTCCTGGTGAGGTTGTCAGGATGGTAGTAGCTTGTATGCTTACTAACCTGAGTTCTTCATTGCTGAGCTCAGAATCAGGTAGCAAGATTGTAGTTAATCTAAACGAACCTGGATACACTCTGATTTGTGGATTTCAGCTTCTAAAATTTTCCAAACAGCATTGCCATTGGAACAAATTCCTGGAGTTGAAGTCCCCACATTTGAAGGATGCCCAAGTTGGAGAAGACTTATTTAAACTATTGAGGCAAAACTTAATCATGTGTCTGAACAAACCATAGCTTCTGCTAAGCAAATTTCTTTTCAATTTAGGTAGAGCATTTATACAGAAGGGATTGCTTCTACTGTTCTCCATCTCATTGTCCCACCAGAAGTAGCAGGGGAAGAACATGTGGATCTGAAGCTTACAGAACTGTGATTCAGAGCACACGTCCACAATTTGGTGTCATCCAGATGTGTTGGACAACAATACTTCCACTGGTCAGATGGGCTGGGAATTCTGGGAGTTATAATTCAGCACATCTGAAGGACACCAAGTTGGGAAGAGCCTGTTTAACATTGTGTGAAACAAGCAGCAGTGATGCTTGATGCTACTACCCCTCCATGGCCCCCAACTTTCAAACTCTTGAGAGAGAGAGAGGGAGGGAGGGAGAGGGAGAGAGAGAGAGAGAGGCAGACCGACCGACAGACAGACAGACAGACAAATATTGGGAACTAGATTACACCACTGAGTGTAGAAGGAGCAGAACAGTGGGGAAGGGAAGGGAAGAAACAGGACAGCTGGTTTTCAGATTGCATGAAATAGCCTTGAGACTAGTGAGATCCTAATTCAAGTCTGCCTTCAGCCATGGAAGTTCATTGAGTGACTTTGGGGCAGGAATTATCTCTCAGCTTAACCTACCTTACAAGGTTGTTATTGTGGGTGTAAAGTTGGGGGAAAAAAGTACAATGTATGTTTTGAGCTCCTGGAGAAATGGCAGCTTATACATCTAATAAACATGAAGGCACAGGTTCCCAGTAGCTAGCTGCAGAGACTTTCCATCTATCAGATAATACCTAGTACCTATTGATCAGATGGACCTTTGGAAGGAAACAATGCTTCAGTCAGTTCAATGCAATACTATTTATTTAACCAATCCTGCTAATGAACAAAAGGGGTGGAGGACACCTCCACTGACTGTAGAAGCCACCTGTTTTCAGTTGTCTCCCATTCAACTTGAAGACATGAGCAGAGGCAGCCAGAGAGAAGACTCAGTAACTCTGTTGAACATTCCAGGAGAGGAGGAGGAAACCTCAGTCAAGTTCTATAAATATTGTCAAGGAAACTGTATCAGTGAAAGAAGGGAATTAGTCACTGTCTCTGTAGCTATGGCCCCATGCCAAGGAAATTTAGAGGGTATCATTGTTCCTCTCAGCAGGGGAGATGCAGAAGGGGAAAACTCAGGCCCTATCATTGTAGACCTTATCTTCCTCCTATATGCATAAGGATATGGGGTGCTTCTTGCAAGGGTTTTATTGTGCAATTGTCATGCCTCACTCACAGAATTTTATTGGGGGATGGAGATGCCATCATAGTATCTATCTTCTTTTTCTTCTGTCAAAAGTCCATTAAAGAGGGGACAATAGAAAAACTGAATGGTGTTGTTTGACTGGTAGCATTAGGTGTCTTCTGTCTGGAAAATGCCCAGCATTGCTAACTTACATTCTAGAACTGAGACCTTTTGTCAAGGCCATGATGTGTATTAGGCATTGACAGACATACAGTTTCTGCCATTATCAAATCTCTGCTGCGTGTGATTTCAGACGATCTTTGTAAAGAAGAAGAATCTGGAAGGGTGAGTGCTGATGAACAAAAACAGGATTGGGGCACCATGGCCAGAAGATTCTCCTTCCTTGTCCATCATATAACTGCATACTGGGAGATGTTATTGATCCAATAAGGGAACATTACTCCTGGATTTCTGTTACAGTTGATGAGTTCAGCTTGTGTTCCAATAACATCCCAAAATCTTACTGGAATTTCCATTTATCCTTTCAGGAGCTCATATTATTTATTACAGAAGTGCAAAAGTTGATACCAACTTTTTATATCACCCATTTTACAATCTTAGTTACTTGCATTGAATTGAGACGCTGATGCATGTGATTTGGAACTTCTGTAGTTGATGTTTATTCTGCAAGGATTGGTTCGTGTTGGATTATTCACACAACACATTGAATCACAAACTAGCTAACCACATTTTAGCCTGGGATGTTAAATGAATCTAGCCATATTGTTAGTTTATTGTGCCATGTAGACTGATAATATGTCTCTCACACACAACCCATTAATTGATAAAGGTACAGAGACAAGCTCAAACTGCCCTTAAATTGGAACATTGCATTATATCACTTAACCAAGCCCACATCCAAGGTGGCTAAGATCAGTCATTGATAAATGCAATCAGTTTTATAACAGAAAGCACAGGCACAAAGCAAAATCAGCTGATAGACTCAGGAGTAGTAAGAAAGTTAAGTGTAAAAAATTTCAAACACTATTCAAGCCAAGATAAGTGGGGGGTAGAAGAGTTTTAAGTGGTCATCAAGAATAGGATCAGGATAGTTTCTGAAAGTAAGGAATTCCACAGCCTGGAGCATCACAATTAAGCAGACTGTTTCATACTTTCCTATTCCAATGAATCTCAGTTAACTGAATGGGTAGTGAAGATAATACTAAAGAATACAGATTTTTAAGCTTGCGTTTCATCTGGGAATATTTCTGAATGGGAATACACGGAGACCATCAGGTTCCCCGACCCACTTTTTTTTTATCCCTTTTGATTAGAGAAGTTAGTATCTGGCAAATCAAAGTGCTAGCTCCTGTATGATTTTTATTTCCAAGATGACTCTGGTCCTGCAAATTTCCCATAGGCATTCTTAGAGAATTAAAATGATGGAGGTCCAAATCCCAACACGTTGAAAGGAAGCTGGAAGGAAGGTGGCAGGAAGTTTTGGGAGGCGGGGTGGGAGGGGAAGAGTAAAAGCATGGTAAGGTGCAAACCGACTAGTTTACATTTGATAAATCAGCATTTTGTGAGTGCCATTTTAGGAGATCACCCATGACATGCTCTTCAGATGCTAGAGATGCCTACTGGCTCAAAGAAGTTGACAATCTTTGATTTATAATGTTGAATTATATGTGATCTTGTTGCAGAATGTTTATTACTTCAGAGCCCTGTTTGAAATAAGAAAACAAATCAACTCTGGGTTATGATTATGCATTAGTTGAGAATGGAAGAAAAAAATCATGCAGGGTGTTATGGAAGGAAGAGAGCGGAAGTGGTATTTGTGGAAATTAATACCACTTTTTTGTTTTATTCTCATATATTCTTATTTTTCATTTTGTATTAGTATATTAACATATTTATCTTTGTTCTCCCCCCAGAGTGACATATGTGAGATGTGCAGCCATATACATTGAATAACATATATAAATTATCATTGTTTTGTTCTTTTTTCAGGATGGGAACATTTACATTACATTCCAAAACTGGGAAGCCTATGCCGTCCGTCTCCAATGGGTGAGTCATATTTCAGCTCTCCTACAGACTAGAAAATAGAGAACGATGGGTGCATTCCGTCCATTGCAAAGTATCAGTATAAACTGCGTGAGGATCTTAAGTCTTTCTTACCAAATTGTGACATATCCACTTAATTAAAAAAAAACACATCCTACAGTGTTATTCTGAGCCTGGCATTAATATTAGTCATAACCGAAGTAATTTAATTTTGCTAATGGAGTGCTTCATTTATGCTTTGGTGGAGAATTTACATACAACAACATGATGTAATAGAATTCAGCTATCATTAATGCAGTCAAGTCCACTAGAATTCAGATGTAATTTTGATGGAGCTCAGCCTATTATTTTTGGCTGTTTCTATCATTCTTTTCATTTTTAAAGAGAACTCAACAACTCTTGCCTCATTCATTTTCATAATGACTCAACTGATAAAATTTGGAGAGAAGGGGGAGAGGAAGGCAAATCTCACCATTCCTGTTTAATATTCAAATCAGGTAGTGTCAAATCTATTGGGCTTCTTCCCCTTCCTGAATACATAATATCCAGTGTGGGTCTTGATTGAGCTCGGATCTTGAACATCGAGTCATCTGCATCTAAATATAATATGCCTGTTCTCAAAATCATCTGGATAATCACATTTTTGGCAAATAGGTGGATTGTCAAGCATATAGCCAATTCCTATAATCAGGAGGTTGGATATGTGCTGTCCAGAAAAGAACATTTAGAGGTCTATTTTTTTGCAGACAGTAACATTAACAAAATATTTTCTAAGCCTGATTTAGAATTCATCACAGTGGTCTTGAATTGCTCTTCCTTTGTTAAATCTGCAGCAGAAAGCTAAAAGGGAAGTGGAGCCTGAAATATAGTAAAGAAACCTGGATATCTCCTGAATATTTGCTCTAAAGAAAAAGCCAAGTGTGACCTACTGGAAGTCACCACTGCTGATGTGTGTAGACAGGTTGATGATTGCTTCCCTTCAAATACCTAACCTGTCCAGCTACAACCACCCAACTATACCACAGCGTTCTCTATAATACAGAAATATGACATAGGTTTAGCCCCCCAGAGTCACCAGGCAAGTGGGCAGCCCTATATTATGAATGAATGAATGAAAGCAAACAGACTCTTCCCATGTCTCTGAGGAACTCAAAGTTGGATAATTCCAGATTGAAGGATGCCATTTAAAAAAAAGTGGTGGAAAGGAAGATAGATGACAAAGAACCTATAAGAAATAATATCCAAAATCTTAGCAAAGATTACTGCAATATCTAATGCACCAGCCAGCACATAATACTAGATTTGTTTTGTTTAAGGTCATGTTAAAGGTAAAACTCCTTCAAATCAAATTTGACCCTTGCTAATTACATGGACAGCTCCAGGTAGTTTTCTTTGGTAACCATATAAAAGCGTTGTTTCCTTCCAGGAATGTTTTGACTTCCCAGTCATGCCTGGGATCTCAGGATGTTCTAGTGGTCTCCCATCCAAGTATTAATTGCATTCAGTTCTGCTTAGTGGTTTGAGATCAACCAAATCTGGCTAGGTGCTGCCACCTGCTGGGCCACGTTCAAATTGACACATGGGAAAAACTCATCACAGTTGGTAGCCACCACAGGTAGTCCTTGACTTGCAACCACAATTCAGACCGGAATTTCAGTCACTAAGCGATGCGGTTGTAAAGCAAGATATCACGTGACTGCATTGCTTAGCCACTGCAATCCCAGCAATTCCCCTTGCCATCATTAAGTGAATTTTACTGGTTGTTAGCTGAGGACCCACCCCAATCCAAGCCCTTCCAGGCTTGGTCTCTCCTATCCCCAAGCTTCAATAAGGGACTGCCTCCAAACTCCTCCCACCTGCTTATCTCTCCTCCCCATTTCTGCTCTTTTGGCTGCCCTGCACCCTGCTTTGTAGGGTGGCAAGCAGCCCCGGAACCATGCGGCTCTGGGAATGCAAGAAGCCCCTGAGCTGCAGTGCAGCATGAAGCCGCAGCTGCCCCTAGAAGCCCCAGGTGCCCCAGCCTGCCCCAGCAAGTGCCAGCAAGCATTTGTTTGCCTTCTCTCCCAGTTCCACACACTGACCTTTCGCCTTTTGCACCCAGCTGCAGTGGCCAGGAAGTGCTAGCAAGCATCAGCAAGCATTTGTTCACCCAGCTGCCTTTGCTCTCTCCCTTTCAGACCCAGCTTCAGGGAACTCTGTTAGGTGGATTAAATCAACCAAGAAATCCAAAAAGTATTCAGCTTTTTCAAGCATGGGACATATCCTTAGCCCCTCTTTGAAATACAGGACCCATTTCTAGGGGTTTGAATTAATCTACTGTTGATTGTTGACTTTATGTGTCTGTATGTTTGTATGTGTAAATTGTAAGCTTGTTGCAAGCTATCATGGACATCCTCAAGGAGCCACGTGGAGGAAACATTTTCAGGAGAAGCGGGATCCAGAAAGGAGACAGCAAAGGCAGCTGGCAAATGAATGCTTGTTGGGGCTTTGCATTGTGCTGCATCTCAGGGGCTTCTTGCAGCCCCAGAGCCATGCAGTTCTGGGGCTGCTTGTTGCCCCACAAGTCACGGTGCAGAAAGCCAAAAGGGCATAGATGGGGAAAGATAGGGGGTTGAGGGGAGTTGAAGCACCTCTGTGGTCGTAAGTGCAGTCAGGCTGCCAAGTGCCCGAATTTTGATCACGTGACCGTGGGGGTGCTGCAACAGCCGTAACTTCAGTCATAAGTCACTTTTTTCAGCATGTTCATAACTTCAGTCACTGAATGAATGGTTGTAAGTCAAGGACTGTCTGTACCACAAACTAGAATTTTGAGTCCACCACTCCATTGCTTTATTCCACGTGCCAGTTAGATGAGGGATGGTATTTAGAATCAAACCTTGCCCATGAAAGTAATGCAGATGTTCAATGTTCACACTGACAACCTTAGTTCCATCTCTGACATTGAAGGGGATTTAGAGTTTGAAGCTGTGATCATCAGGCCATTAATCACTACACAGAATAAGAAATAGAATATTTTCATATTTCCATTCATTATTAGTTGAATCTGCATATAAAACATCACTTTTCTAAACCCAATCCTTTCTTTAGCTGCTGGTGAGTGGAAATAATAGGAATCATAAGTAAGGTAATCCTTTCGATATAACTTAGGACTTTATGTGATTTATATTGCTGGCCTGAAAAAGGTCATATTAGCCATCCACTGTCATACTTCTAATTTCCAAACTCCATAGAAGAAATAGACTTGTCATCTGTTCTGAAGATTAAATCCATTTTGAGCCATCATTATCCAAGACATCACCCATGCATGTGGAATTGAATGGACAGAATTGTTGTAAATCATAAAATTGACACATTTTTAAAAAGAAAATTAAAAAAAAATAGGTTCCACATAAACTGCTTTTGTTCTTAGGCTTGCTCTATGGTGAGTTATGTCTCTCAATAATCAATTTGATATGAGCGTTCAGATAAATATTTCAGCTCGTCTCAGATGCTACAAGTTCAGGCAGTGATATAATTTGGCCAAAAACATTATATTGTTTTAATTTGAAAAAAAATTCTTCAGTACTCCATTTTTGTACCATCTTTGAACATGTTTAATGTTTAAAAGAACTCATTTTAATTTGTATTATTTAAGATAGTTTTACAATGTCAACCCTCAGCAAAACATCGATGATAGTTTGCAACAAGGTTACAATTGCACATACAAACACACAGACACATGAAGTCAACAATCAACAGTAGATTAATTCAAACCCCTAGAAATGGGTCCTGTATTTCAAAGAGGGGCTGAGGATAAGTCCCATGCTTGAAAAAGCTGGACACTTTTTGGATTTCTTGGTTGATTTTAATCCACCTAACAGAGATCCCTGAAAGGAGTATAGGGTTACTGAGACATTTAAATCATAAGAAAATCCAAACAATGCAACAGTAAAATACATTAATAAATAGAACAGGAAAGAACATGCTTATCAATATGTATAAAACCCACTATACCCATATAACACAGGCACTCAACAGTCAAACCAAAATTGAGTTATGTGGCCCTGCTTCACTTTATGGAAGTGGTACTGTGGGCTTCAAGGCAATGTCTTGAGAAGGAAAAGTCAAGTGTTCCACCTCCATGTGTGGAGGTGGACCACCTTGCTTAGCCCAGTTGCTTTGCTTTGGCAAATATATCTAATATGTATGTACAAACATGCATCAGAGATTATCAGTGGCTGATTCCGCAGGATGTTTTCACACAGTGCCAAGAAGCAGGGCACCTTTATGCTTCATGGAGCTGCATTGAAAGTGTGCTTTATCAAAGCCTTAATCAAAACACAGTATTGTCAGCCCTTCAAGGTAAATCAGACTAGGAAACCAATGCCATGTAGGTCAGTTGTATACCGTTTGTTGTAAAGCTATAGTAAAAGAATTGTGCAAATCTGAACACGCTCCCCCCTCTCTTTTTCTCCATGTGAACTAGGGAGGGGTTTGTTTACTCATATTACATTCCTGACCTGGACTCAGTCCTCTTTTATCTGACCTTTGTCTTGGTAGTGGCTCTTCCTCCTCTCCCTCAAAGCTATTCTCTCTGCCCTCTACACCACTGCAGAATGTGGAAAGGGGGCTATGGGTTTGGAAAACCAAAACTTGGTGGGTTGCTGTTATTTTTGTGAACCCAAAATAACATTCTGAAGCTTCATAAAAGGAGAGGCTGCAAATGGAACAGAAAAATAAAACTTAGCTTATTCTGTATTTGGGGCAAAGATGGATGGAAACATCAGCCAAGCCATTTCTTTCCTCCCTCTCCTAGCCACTTCATGAACTATTTTTTCTCTTCTTACAGAGGAATTCCAGGGAAAAAGTGTGGCACCATCATCCTATCAGCTGAAGAACTGGGCAACTGTAGGGTGAGTCATTCTTTTCTCTTTGAATTTCTGATCAAGTCATTGCTTTCAAGAAGCTTGTCAAAAGAAGAAAGGATGTCTTTGAGTTCAAAAGCCCCAGTGCTAGGGAGTCCCTGATGGTCCAGCTTGTTGTCCTATTAAAGTTGCTCTCACATGCCATGCTGCATCGGAGTCAGAGATATCATGTTGCAGAATATAATGGGAGACTCACTCTGATGTTACTTTTTATGATGCAGGACTACACATAAGGTATATATTTAAGTATATTCCATCTAACAACTGCTTCTCTTAAATGTTTTTATTATATGTGCTGATCCTCACATCTGCAGTATTAACAGACCAGAGATCTCTGCCCCTTCTGGGTATGCTGGCTTGCTAGCTTTGTATACATACAGACCCGTGGGTATTTGGTAAGAGCATTGAAGTGAAATATAATGTACTTTCCTGGCTAAGTACTTTGATAGAGGCCAGCATCATGACCTTGGTGGAGCTCTCAGCGGGATGTACCATGCTGAAGTAAATCAGATGAACTCCTCAGTAGCAGATCAGAAGAAGTAAATCAAATGCAGAAAAGTAAGCTGGGCAGCTCCAGGGAGTCATAAGGCTGCGTCAAGATATTTCACCCTGCTTTTCCAGGGGGGAAATCTACTGTAATTGTTGACCAAACATTTCCCATAATAGTTCTCAGAACCTGAACTGAGATTACAGTCAACATTAGTAGCTAAAGAGTGCTTACAGCTGGAAGTTGAGAGCTCAGATTTGTGCTATTTAAAAGATAATCATGGATGATCACCAAACTAGATGAATGTCTATAAAGATGGACAGAAGAAGTTGATGGGTTTGATACCTAACAAGGTGTTTGGGGAGAAACAGATATAAACCTGTGCATAGGGATATGTAACTTTATATTCCAAGTTATCATGGCATTGGAAACATTACAGCATGAATATTGGGGTGGGGGGAAGTCATGCTTCTCATTACTAGTAGTGAACTTTTAGTCACACATCCAGATACTATATCATGTGATTTTAAATATTTATACCTATCTTTGTTTTGTTTTGTTTTGTTTTGTTTTGTTTTGTTTTGTTATGTTTAGTTAGTTTTAGTTATGTTTTTTTGACAAATTTATATAGCTGCCTATCTAACCATTGGAACTCTGGGTGGCAAACAAAAAATAAAACACAACAAACCAATAAAATCACTTAAAATAACCTAGTTGAGGCTCCCACAAAAATTATCCTAACCACATAATAAAGACACACACTCAGGCTTTACTAACATCCTAGCCCCAAAGCCCAGGGCAGAAAAGCCAGGTTAAGCCTTCTGGAAAACCCACATGGTTCAGGCCATCTGAATCTCATTGTTTTTTCATAAATCTCATTTAATATTTAATTTAATTTAATTTAATTTAATTTAATAAATCTCATTGTTGTTTCATAAGGCTGACCCCATGACAGAGAAGGCATGCTTCCTAGCTGCCGCCAAATGACACTGCTTTACTGAGGGGACCCAAAGCATGTCCACCTTGCCAGATCTGGTAGGACAGGCAGAAACTACTGGGAATAGACAGTCCTTCAAGTAACCTTGACTCATGTCATGTAGGGCTTTCAAGGTAACAATCAGCACCTTAAATTACACCCAGAAGCCTACTGGGAGCCAGTACGGCTCAGGTAAGAGTGGTGTTACATGGGTGTACTGTGGTATCTCTAATATTGCACAAAAGGTCCATGTGAAGCCATTCTTCATCTGGATGAAATGGTATCTGCAGACATAGGGGATATATATTGACCTGCACTGTAGATAGGCAGTAGAGAGCCCATTTGGTGAAATGGTTAAGGCACTAAGTTAGAAACTGGGAGACTGAGTTCTAGTCCTGCCTTAGGCACAAAGCCAGCTGGGTGACTTTGGACCAGTCACTCTCTCTCAGCCCTAGGAAGCAGGCAATGACAAACTACTTCTGAAATCTTGCCAAGAAAACTGCAGACTAGTCCAGGCAGTCGCCAAGAGTCAATGTTGACTCGAAGGCACACATACAGATAGGCAATAGTGTTTGGAGTGCTGGACTAGGTATAGAAAAGCCAAGATTTCATTCTCTATGAAGCTCATGGGATCAACTTAGAACAGTCTTCTCAGTGGACCCACATCATAAAAGGCAGAGTTGTGAAGATAAAAGAAAGCAAATCAAGGTATTCTTCTCTGTGCTCCGTACAGAGAATAGGATGAATGTGAATAAATCAGTGACAAATCTCATTAGTGTCCTAGCCCAGCTTTAAAACAGAGCTACAATCTCTGGCCTATTACAGCAGAACGTTCTTTAAAACTAGTCAGTCCTTCTTTCTTCCCCCTTACAATAGGGCCACTGGGCATAAATGTCCACTGAAAGTTTCACTCTTTTCTAAGAGTCAGGCTGGCTGAATATGTGTGTGTAGCCTATACCATCTGGGGAAGGTTGCTATAGATCTTTTCTCACAGTCTATTTCCATGAAAGAAAAGTGGCCTAAAAGGAGCCCTCAGGCTTGTTTTTGCTATGGACGGTGACAGAAGAAAACCCTTTCTTCCAAGGGAAAAGTTCAGAGTATCTGTAGCTTTAAGAGTCATGGTTGAGTTGTGTTTGTGCCAGAGAAGAGAAAGAGGCATCCAGGCAACTAGCAAGACAATGCTTGGGTTATCCCAACAGTCAAGTATTGATGACCCACTAGAGGTTCACCATCTTTTCATAACCACAACCAATTTACTGCTGACACCAAAGAGAGCAAAATAACCCAGTGGGTGTATATCTTTCCACAGAAGCATCAGCCTATCTAGACTCCAGCAAAGCCAGACATTTTCAATCTTTCTCTCCCACGTACAGAAGTTAACACAAACAATATCACTGTATTTGTCTCACCTCATCTCGCCCACAAGTCTGACGTCTACAAGGGAGAAAATCCTAATTTCTCTCCTACGCAATTCTTTGTCCTCAGACACACTCATGTTAAATTTCCATACCTTTAAAAATGCATGCAGATCAATGCTTTCTCACCCATGCATCCATGTACACATCTTTTGTGTATATACTTGTGGAAATGGATGCACATACCATGGTACAGTACATGATGAAAGCTTATGTCCATTATATCATGTTGGGTTTTATCTCTGTTGCTTTTCTGTGCTTGAATGCTTATTTACACACCCTGTTTATTATCTAAAGTATGTAGAAAGGCTTACATGTTTATACTTTTTCAACTCACAAAACACACACTGTCTTGCTAGTGCACGCTACTTTTGACATAAGATCCACTCAGAATTTCAGGGGTGCGCTTGAATGCATTCAAAACAGCCCATCTGTTGTGTTATAAAGGGAATTTAACTCCCCTTTCCATCAGAACAAACCAAGACCTAAGCAATTAGCTCTACATGAGCAGTCCTGCAGCCTGTGTTAGAATTTGGCTTAACTCTTTCCCTTGCACAGAGAAGATGCTGGGGTGGGGGGGGGCTCTCCTTCACCCAGTGCCATTTTTCCCTGCTGTGGCTCACTAACTTCGCTATAACTTCAAAGATTCATTCATGATTGCAGCTTGGAAAAAGAGATCAGTCAGATGGACACGAAACTGCTGTGTTGCATCTGCTAAGGAGGCTGGATAATGTTGCAAGATGCTTCTTCCACTGAAGTCCATGTGATTCATCAGTATTTATTTATCTCAAACCATGTCAGTGAAGAGGCCATTGCACTGGAAAACCAGCAGTCTTAAGGATTCACTCTTATGCCCTTCCCTAAAGCAGCTGGACACCTTCTGTTTTCAGTGAGCATGTCTACAAAGCAAGAGAGCTGTCTTTTCCATGTGACATGGTCTGATTATTTGCTAATTTTTGTGAGGAGTTTCCCTTAAAGCTGTGTTTCACATATGCATGTTCCCCTGAAATACACATTTTTCTTTTTCCTTTTTCCTTTTTCCTTTTTCCTTTTTCCTTTTTCCTTTTTTTTTTTGTGGGAGATTGCACTGCAACATTCTGAGAAATGTTAATCCCAAAGGATAACTGGAACCCAGTTGCATATTGATTTGGGCAGGGCAAATTTAGTATATTTATCTCAAAATGCAAATAGATCAAGGTTCTCTTCCATCTCTAGTCCCAAGGATATTTTTTAGGGTTGAAGTGAAGCTTTCTTACCTGAATCAGGGAAATGGAAAGAGGCATTTGATGTCTACTTGGCATCCTAGGTGCTTATTCGTGTATCATTGCTCCTGAGACACGAACCCCTGAGACATATCATTATTCCTATATTAATTTATTTGTCACCCTGTTGTACAAGTTCAGTGCTTCATCCCTTGTGCATTTTCCTGTATGACTTGCAAGGTACATTAACCAGAAATAGCAGTGATACTACATATCTTAATGCTTTCCAAACTCCCTTAGGAAGCATGAAAACACATACCACAAGCGGAGATAAGGAAGCTTGCTTGTGTTCTCATAAGTCAACCTGCCTCTCTACCCTGGATTTTTGCTTGTTTTGTGCTCTACAACCTTATATTTCTGATTTGTGTTTTCTTCTTGTTCTTCAGCGTAAGCTTTAAACAAGCCCAGGGTATTTGTTTAAAAACTATGAAGTCCAGATTAGTAAATAAAAATTTTAAAAACTCGGAAAATCAGCTCAGAAATGCCTTCCCAGGGAATAACAAGTCCTCAAAAAAGCCAAAACACCCTTTTGCTTTGCCCTACACGTTCTACTCCTCTTTTCCACCCAGTTAAAATGGTATGCTCAGAAAGATTTAATCCTCACACACACACGGTAATTCACCCATTTCCTCCTGGAAAAAAGCTGCTGCTGACTGCCTCCGGCAGCACTGGCAGAGGATTTTGCAGAAGAACGAAAATGCCTTGAGTTGGAATCAGAAAGGGTTGATAAGTGGGGTACTAATCTCTTCTGCATCCCTCTCATGCTTCCCCACTGCTAGAAAAAATCTCATCAAACATCTAGGATGTAAACTAACTTTTGATCTCAAACGTGACACTTCAAGACACATTGTGATCTTCAGTGCTTTGCAGCTTGAGACATTTGGCTTACAACAGCAAGGCTATTCTTTCCTTAACACTAGAGTATATCTGCAGACAGTTCAAGCCAAATGGTTAGCCCTGGCAAGCATAAAATAAAAATGTATTATACATGAACTCCTGCCAACTGATTGTGATTTTTGAAAACTCCTGGTGGTGCTGGAAGAGCAACCATAGTCCAATATGCAAAATGCTAGAGGGAGCAACTGGGGAAATATAGACCTATTGATTAGCATCTCTGCTGAGTAAATTGTCAAGTAGCATGGCTATGAGCATTTAGAAAAGAATGCTACCATTACCACAAGCTAGCTGGGATTGTTTAGTTATATGTTGTCTTAGTCTATTCTAGCTTGAAGATGTGTGGACTTCAATTCCCAGAATTCTCCAGCCAGCATGCTGGCTGGGGAATCCTGGGAGTTGAAGTCCACACATCTTCAAGTTGCCAAGATTGAAAAATTCTGGTCTAGTCTTTTCTCTATTTATGACAGAGTGAATAGTTTAAAAGACAGGATGCACTGTGAATGTAATGTGCTTTGATCTCAGAAAAGCATTTGACAAGGACTTTCATGGTATTTTTGTGGACAAGAGAGAGAAATGTGGGCTAGTTGATACTGTGGTCTGTTAGATTTGTAACTGGTAACAATCACCTCCAAAGGGGGCTTGTGAATAGTTCTATATCATCCCAGAGGGAAGGATTAAGTGAGATCTCCAGGACTCTATCCTTGGCCTCCTGCTATTCAACATCTAGATAAATGACCTACAGATGCAATGGAAGGCATGCTTATCAAATTTGCAGATGATACGAACCTAATTGAGTAACACCTCAGAGGACAAAATCACAGCTCAAAATTATTTTGATAGGACTGAGCATTGGACCTAATCCAACAGTATGATGTTGAACTGTGGCAAATAAGTAAGGGACCAGGGAGACCTGACTTGTAATATAAGGAAGATCTAGGAGTACTAGTGATATGTCTACATTAGGAAAAAACATGCATAAAAATGCAGAGCAGGGGAAATTGTATATAAAATGCACACATTCTTGCAAGTCAAAATCCAACTGATAGGAGAATGAGGGAAAATATTTTAGAAAGTAAATTAAGTTTATTATATTTATGGAATGCTAGCCCAAACAAGATTTTTTTGTGTGTGTTCACAGAGCAGCAGTGACACTGATTGACAAATATATGAAGCTGTTTATCTTTTTCCAACACACAGAAGCAGCTACTTCCATTATAATCCTAAGGGCCTAGATTGATTTAAATGCCAGGAAGTGAAAAAGTATAGTGGATGACTTATCTGTTATGAAAATCACTGGCAAGCTGTAACTCTTCTTCTATAAAGAGTTCAGTGCATGTACCAGAGACTGATGGGAAAAAGAATACCCAAGTACCAAAGTCTAAAGTGTGCAAGGATGAGTAAAAAGTCTTAGTTGTAGGTACAGTATCCTTGTTTGATGCCAGAATGATAGCTGTCCCAGATTTTTTGAGCCTTGTTCATGCTGTTATAGTCCTTTCTGTTACACACTGCATTAGAATTTCCTTCAGTGATAATTTTCAGTCTTTCTTTTTCCATTTTCTGTTGGGCTGGTTGCAAATTCTGATTTTTTTTTTGTTATATACAGTATGTCTTTCCTGTGTAACTTTCACGTGTAACTTCTTAAAGTTGCTCTGTTAGCTCAGCAGCAGTGCTGGTAGACAATGTGTTTTCTGCTTCCAATTCCAAGGATGTAGCCACCATGCAGTTCTGTGCCAACAAGCTGGACAAGAAAGACTTCTTTGGGAAATCAGACCCTTTCATGGTATTCTACAGAAGTAATGAGGATGGAACGTGAGTACAAGTATTGTGTTTTTTTTCTGGCAATAGGAGATTTGCTCCAATTTTAACTAGCCCTTCTTTAATAACACATAGTGAAGACCTATTTTAAAAAGGCAATATGTATTTCCCTTGATACTTCCCTTGTGTGAATTAGGAACTATATCCATTATACATGATCTTCTAGCCTCAGATCAGATCCTTCATTTAAATAATGAAATAATAAAAGTTGAGCTGAGATGCCAACAGATGGCATAGAGAAGTCTTCACAGAAGTGGAACTGATAAAGATGGGGCTAGCAGAGGTGTGAAAAATATTCTGTGCAGGACAATCCTGATCAGAAACATCCCATTTTCCACCCCCACACAGAATGTGCTGATCTAGCATCCTAGAATGATTAATGACTTTCTGGAAATGGATAGTCCAACATTCTGATATTCTGAAATGTTGAGGCTGGAATACATGTAGAACATCATGAATCACTTTCAGTTTCAGACAAATTAGTTCCAGAATTACACAAACCTCCTGAATGCCCTTATCAGCCCATTCCAGAGGTAGATTGCTCCCAAAATACTTTTTTGAACATAGCTAGTTTCTAGTATAATTGTCATTTCATGTGTATAATTATCAAAGACAAAGGGGGTTTATAAAATCAGTGGTAAACCTTTTATTGTTGTAATTCAGTCTCATATTTAACAATCATATGATAACCATGGTCAGCGGGGAATTCTGTATGAGTGAACAAGTTGGCTATCAGAAGATGGAGGAATGAATCCATCCATCTTCATTTCCCTGCTGATTACAAAAATAAGAAGATGGCTGCATCTGGCAGGGAAGGTACACAGTGTTCTGTACCACCTACTCTGGCTCATCTTTCCTCACTAATTATAGGAGATCTCTTCCTTAGATTAAAAAGGTAAAAGACTTCCTCGACTTGAGCTTGACTTCTGGTAAATGCACAGACGTGTCTGTGTAGCTTTGTTGTACAGAAGTGACCTGTCATTTGGGGATTTTGTTTGTGATTTCCCAGTCTAGCCTACAAGTCTGCATTTTCCAATGATCACCCTTTCAAATACCAATCAGATCCAGCAGGTTTTGTTTAGGACAATCAATATAGCTGGTTGCTGCTACCTGCTCAGGCTTTCCTTGATAAGTAGTTTCTTAAAATCCTCATAAAAAGAACATGTTCAAGCTAATGACTTTTATTTACAAGGCTATTGTAGTCATATATAATCTGGCATGACACCAACACAATGGATCCCCTCTTCTTAAATGTTCTTTACCTCACATTCCAAAAATGTGAGCATTTGGGTTAATTGAGGAGGATCATCACTCTGAGATAATATCATAAAGAAAAGAAGGTTGAATAGGGAGAAGCATAGAGTATTAAACTCAGGATGGATAAGTGTTTTTTTTTAGCATTCATCCAGTTTTGCAGTCTTAGCAGTCAGGGTGTTCACAGGATATGGTAAACAGAAAAATCAAGATGGTGGCTGTGATGGTGTGATTGAAGCTTCACCTATTTTTATGTGGAATCACACTGTCACGGCCACCATCTCAATTGAATATACCTTCCTTGTGAGTTTATATGTATCTATACATATACGTGAGATGGGCGGTGTCCAAATTTGAAATATAAATAAATAAATACTAAATAAAAAAGGATTTCTTTGGAATTATTTTCTGGACCAGTTCAAGTAAAGAACTGCTTTGACTAACTTTTTAGCTGATACAGGAGAAAATAAAAAGACTAAAAAGACTCAAGCATGCTATGTTTTCAACTTTCAGGGTCATTTTAAAAAGATGACTTACAGTATGAATATTCTTCAAGTTGTTGCAACTTGAAGTTGCAACTATTCTTAGTTCTTGCAACTAAGCCAGCAAGATATGAAATGAGATGTTGTATTCAATAGGAAAAAGTCTGGGCAAAAGTTAGTTAACAACAAGACAATTCCGTACTTGACCATTCTGAATAATAAAAAAGGGTAAATGAAAGTCAGATCTCCTTGAAATTGTGAACATTTGCCTTAATTTTCAAAGTGCAGGGCTGGTGCTGCAATAAAATATCAGTTTGTAACCAAATTCCCAGGCTCCCTAACTATTTTTGTGTGAGCAGGGTGGAAATCCATATTCCCAGAGTCAAAATCTGATAGGTTTTGCAGTCTGGATCTAAGAGAGTCTACCAGTGTTCTAGACAAACTCTTTTCCTACTGAAGTGTCCCAACAAAATTACTGTACAGCAAGAATGGCCGGAATGCTAGATTCATGTGATTCATGTAGCCTGTGATTCATGTAGCCTTTAACATATTATTAGACCTCTGCAAAAGGATCATTTTAATCTGTAGCAAGAGTGATCTGTCCCTCTTCCAACAGCATGTTGGGTGGGAGCAAGGACAGAGCTCATGGAAAGTTGAACTAATTGAAAATAAGAGAAGAAAAGAGTGATCTCCCCAATTTTGGCTCTGGTCATTACTGGTACATGGCTCCCAGCAGATTATTTCTAAAAAGCCCAGGCCTTGACTGAAAAAAATTCCCCTCCCTTGTTTGAGAGAATATGAACTTCTCCCTTCTAGAGCTATTGCCATATCTTGCTGGTTATTGCTTTTAACTGGTTCCCAATATAGTTTATTCTGCTTTCAGCAAGTTTCCTCTCTCTGTGGGAATGGATATTGCACTACTTGTGCTAATAAAAGTATAACTCTAATAGAAAATATTTATATCCTCTGTGAAGAATGTTTGCTAATATTGCATGAAGTTGGTGCTTATTTCTGCTGCAAGTGTTTGGAGAGTGCCAGCATTTACAGCTATTAAAGTAATCCATTTTTATCTCGGTCCAACCCAGTGCCAATTTTCATTGTCCATGGCGGGTTGGAGAAGCATATTTCAAAAACAAAATTTAATGAGGTTTCTTCTTCTTTGTTGTTGTCTAACCCAAGGCATTCTTTGGTTGCTGAGAATTAACATATAACTAAATGGACTTTCTGTATCCTGCTAGGTTTACTATCTGTCATAAAACGGAGGTGGTGAAGAACACTCTGAATCCGGTATGGCAGTCATTCGCTATCCCTGTGCGAGCCTTGTGCAATGGAGACTATGACAGGTACAATCTCCATAGAATTAGAGTTAACAGCTGTCCTGATGTGTTCATTAAAAGTGGTGTTAGAGCAGCCATGTCCAACCTGGTGCCCACCATATTAGCATCACAGTTCCAGAGTGGCTGGATGTTTAGGAGTTGTAATCCTAACACATCTAGAGGGGACCAGGTTGGAAAAGATTAGGTTAGAAGACATGAATACATAGCCCTTTTCAGGCATTCACATATGAGGAGCTTCAAACTGGTGCTGCTCATGCAGCCCTGCATCCTAGTCACTGGTTCTTCCACATGTTCAGCTGAGAGATCAGATGGAGAAGGGTAGTCACGTTAGCTGAAATCATAGAATCTCAGAGTTGGAAGGTATCTTTGTGGTCATCTAATCCAACCTTTTGCTTAGTGGGGGATCCATTAGAGCTTCTCTGACAGATGACCAACTTGTGTTTGAAGACATCCAGAAAAGGAGAAGTTACCACTTTATGTGGCAGTCTAATAACTCATACAGTCAGGACCTTGATGAGTCAGGACCAACATCCTTGATGTTTTACTCATTACTTCTGGTCCTGCTTCCTGGGGCAATAGAGAATATGTGGCAATACTTCAGATATTTGAAGCCTGCTATCATATATCCCCTCAGTTATCTGTTCTGTAGGCTAGTTCCTTCATAGGACATGGTTTTCAGACCCATCATCATCTTGATGACTCTTTTTTTAACTTAATCCAACTTCTCACGGTCCTTTCTGAATTGTAGGTGTCCAAAACTAGACACAGTATTGCAAGACTCTGGACCAGGGCAAAATAGAGCAGACCAATTACATTTGTAATTGTAAATAGATTTGGACAAGGACACCCAAATCTCTTTCACATGTACTACTATCAACTCAGGTCTTCCCCATCCTACACTTATATCTTTCATTTTTCCTACAGAGACTGCAACACTTACATTTCTTCCTATTAAATTCCATTTATTCATATTAGACTCACCCAGCATTGTGTGGTATAGTGGCTAAGGTGTAGGACTAGGAGCAGGGACACCAAGGTTTTAGTTCACCCTCAGCCATGGAATTCACTGACTTTGGGTCAGTTACACTCTGTCAGCTCAACCTACTTCACAGGATTGTTGCTGTGAGAGAAATTAGGAAGAGGGAACACTATGCATGCTGCCTTGAGCTCCAGTACAAAAAGTGGAATATAAATCAAATACGTTCATACATACATACATACATACATACATACATACATACATACATACATAGGCATATTCTCTAAGTGTCCCTCAACTTCCTCATCCAAGTCTTTGATAAAAATGTTGAACAGCACAAGGTCCAGGACAGAGCACTCCACTTGATACTTTGATTTGATTTGATTTGATTTGATTTTAATTTTGAGGCCATCTGACACCACGACGACTCTGGGCAGCTTACAGATAAAAAATTAAAATATATTAAGAAAAAGAAGACAACTGACCAGAAAACAGAACCAAAAAGACCAAATGGCAAAAAACCAAACCAAAGGCGCCATCATCCATCATCCTATCCAAGTCCTGGGAGAACAATCAGATATTTAACAGTTTGTGGAAAGTCAAAGGGGTGAGAGTAGTGTGGATCTCTGGGCAGGTATCATTTCACAGAGCAGGAGTCATCTCCGAGAAGGCATGCTTCCTGAGTCTCTCAAGATGACACTGCTTAATCAACAGGACCTGGAGCGTGCCTACTGTAGCTGACTTCGCTGGATTAGTGGAAACAGATGGAGATGGGCAGTGTCTCAAGCTGAAGCAGAGCCATCAACAAGTACTTTTTGAGTGTGGTCATTCAGCCAATGGTGAGGGGGAGCTCTCTGTGCAATCCAGTATCCTAATAAAAAACAGATCCCAGATCGCATAGAGAGCAGTATTTGCCTTGCAATTTCTCAGCTGAATATGTAGAGGTCTGGTAGAGGAAAGAGAGGAGCCAGCATACACATCTCATTGACTGAAATAAAGTTGCTTTTGAGTCACATTCAATTCTTTGTGACTTACAGGAGCACATCCATCCACTTTTCTTGATTTGATGTGAAAGAGGTTTGCCATTTCCTTCTTCTGGGATTTTTTTTAAAAATTCTCAGTTTAGCCAATATCCCTAGATTTTCCGGATGTTCCTCAACCATCTGGGATACACCACAGCCACCCATGCTTAGAATTCTAGATCAGCCAAGGTTAGCTAGGTGCTACTACCTGTTTTTAGATGAAAATGCAACAGACTGTCATACGTGCCCAAAATGTATTAGAGTCACCTATAAGCACCCACCATTGAAACTTGGCCTTGACTTAATGACCCATAAAGAAAGGGAATTGTGGCTTCAACTGAGAATGAATTTGTTTGACTTGGCTGTAGAAATAGTTAATGGGGGGGGGGCAAAGAGGCTCCTGCAAAGATAGCTTGGATAGGTAAGATTTGTCCCCAGACTGAGGTTTAGTTTACTGTATACTGTATATAGAAGGAGAAAAGACATGGATTTACTATTTCATATTAATATCTAAATATTTTAAATATTAAATACAGCAACTGTCTATGGCCCCATGAATTTGCCCAGTGCGTGGCAGAAGTTGTCACATCCAGGAATTTAGTAATCCAAAAGACTCTTCCTCCCTTAAGATTCTTAAGGGGGCTTAAAAAACACTGACAGTCCTCAGAGCTGTTCTAAATTAGGGGGCTGTTATTCTGTCAGCATTAGTGAAAAGACAAAAGTTGCGGGGGGAGCTGGGAGGGCTCCCTTGGGAAGGCTGTTTCTCACTTCAGAGATGGAACTGAAACATACTTAAGGGGTGATAGATGGATGGAAATGAACCCAAAAACTAGAAAAGGTTTGCCGGGAGAAACTCTGGTAATGGATTACTCTTACACTGACAAAACCTGCCGCCGCTCCTGTGCCTCAGTCCACAGCAAAGGTCTGTTTCCGTTCAGGACAGGTGGCCTTGCTGATGAGGGATGTTAATCCAAGTCCTAAAGAGCACCCTGTACCATGAGGGGAAGAATGACTGGATCCTTTATCAGGGCAATATACTCTTCATTCAGCTTTATGATTTCCTGTGTCACAACTGAATCTTTGCATCTGTGTATGTTTGAGAGCTATGCTTTAATTTACCAGCATATTTTCTGTTGATCAGCAGCTCAGCTCTGCTTCACTATTCTCACTTCAGTGCTTCCTGTTAATAGAATATAACTTAGTTCTGAGAAAGCTCCATATAAATCGAAAGCAGGAAATGCCCTCTGACTTTTCCGGGAGGAAAGTAAATATTAAAAAGCCACTCTGGCTTTAATTTAAATTTAATTTTTTAAAAAATATCTCTGTTTTTTTTTAACGTGATTCCCTGTATATTTTTCTTAAACAGATTTCAGAGTTTTTGAGGTGATTGAAGCAAATAAAATTCCTCTCTTAATTAATTTCAAACAAAATTCAATTAAAGCCAGGGTGATGAAGGTTTTTGGGCTAGGGCCAAAGAGTCCCTGGTTCAAGTCTGCTCTCACCCATGGAAATTCACTGGGTGGTTTTGGACCAGTCACTTTCTCATGGTCCAACCTACCCCACAGGTTTGTTGTGGGGAGAAATAGGAGAAGGCAATGCCATGTACGTCACCTTGAGCTGCTGGGGAAAGGCAAGACAGAGATCTAACTAATATGTAAATAAATAAAGCCAATGAATAGAAAATCTATTTATTGATTCCTAGTGGATTTATCTTCCTAAAATGTCTTAGTTGCATCTTTGGATGATTCTCATCTGCTGCAGAAACTGGCTTAAAGTAAGCCTTTAGACACTTGTGTCTGAAATAGTTGCTTGCTATATTCACCTAATGGATCTAAACTTAAAAAGTGAGCAGTTAATTTATCTGCCAACTCCCTATGTGTTCAAAGAGTAACATTTTGAATTGGCAAAAGTTAGCAGTGTGTTAAGAATCTAAGCCTTCTGTCTCTAAGACTTCTTTTCATAATTAATTAGAATATCAGTGGCCTAGGAAAATTGGGTTCCATACTGTATCTTCACACCAGCTGTGTGTCACTGGACTTTCTCAGCCTTTCTTGGGGTTGGGTGGAGGTTTAACTTTGGTAAGGGAAGCAAAGCACTCCCATTTCCCCCCTTCCACACCTCCCTAAGTGTCTTGAAAATTTGTTGTTGAAATTTGGTGGCTCAATTGCTGAATGTTGATGACACAATTTAAATCTGTAGGGATTTTAAGGGTGAGGGAGGGTGTAGTTTGCTTCCCAGAGGCTATCCACTCTTGTTCCCACCTGAAATTTTGAAAAACAAAACAATGTGGTGCTGAATTTCAGCATGCAGTCTTGTTGCTTCAGGACTACATGTAGCCATAGACCTCTGGATTAGAGAACCCAGCCATGGTGGTTTGTAAGTTATGGCTATATCAATAAAGTCAGTTTTTAATAAAGTAATGTCTGAATATTACCCTGAGGGCCACTCTGAAAATGTGTATGTTTCATAAAGTTGCACTCACTAGTTTAGCTATAAAGTGGTCAAGGATCTGCCTTATTTACAAAATGGAACCTAGAAGAATGGGGGCTAAATCTGTTTTTTCTCCATCTTCTCCATCCTTCATTGCTTAAAGATTATTTTCCCAGATCATTCACTTGCCTGTACAGGGGCATCTGCAGGATGTGTGTGTGTGCTAAAAATTCAAGAAGGCAACCACAACTGCAAGATTGAAGTCTCACCCCTTTTTCATGCATGATACATTAAAAGGGGGCAGGACTTTGATCACATGGTTGCAGTCATGATCTTGCCTTTTTTACCCTGCCTGTGGAGGCCCTTCTCCCATTATCAGAGCTGATATGAGGAGCAGATTAAACCAATGGACCATGGGTAGCCAGGAGAAGAATGGGTTCTGCTACCACTCTTCCTGGGTTCCATTTATTGATAAAAGTATAGTCCACTTCTATTTTGTAAACTAATGGAAATTGTTATAAATATTTTTATGAAGTTTCAAGCATCTATAGTACATAAACTACATTATCTGGTTG